AATTAAAATTGTTTAAAAAAATGTTGTTCATATTATAATAAGAATGGTAACATTGGAATAAAAGATATTATTAAGGAAAAGTAAACTTTTTAGAATAATTTTTTAAAAAAATAAGACTTAATTGTCTACATTAAATTTAATAGGAATCATTAATGCTATTGAAAATAAGATTTATTGATAATTTTATTTAAATTTATTTTTGAACAGACTACTTTGCTCTAGTACCCATTGATAATTATAAGAGATAGGATAGGACAAAAACCAACTTAGGTGGATGGGAGATTTCTAAAGAATGTGATTGGAAATAATTAGAAATTTTTTTATAGGACTGGCCTATATTCCATGTGGTTTGTTCTTCCAAGTGTATATGGGGCCATATAACTAATTTTTCATACATTTTCTCCTACATTTGAGACAAACTAATTATGTGTCTCATTGTTATAAGATGGGCACACAATCGAAAATTATCTAGTAAGTTCAGAATAACATGTGTCCATCTGCCCGCCCAATAATATTCTATAATTTATCTACTATTTTCTTATTTTTGAAGCCATGTATGCATTTAGCCCTTACTATTCATTAGGCACACTGCCAACGTAAAATTCCAGCAAAATAGAATGATTCCTTGCACATAACCACTTGGTAGAACAAATTCACTAGATAACTTGGAAATAAGGGTATACTTTGAAGCTGAAACATGTTGATACATGTGAAACAGAATAATTCCTCACACATAACCACCTAGATTATGTATATTATTGCTCTTCTGTTTATCAAATTATTTTTTTTTTGATATAGTTTCATAATTTTTACAATTGAAATATAAATAAATTATAGAATATTTCGAAAGTAGGGAGGTTGACGCTGATAAAGAGTTTGTTGAGTAGTATTCCAACTTATTTCATGCCTGTGCATGTGAAACAGAATAATTCCTCACACATAACCACCTAGATTATGTATATTATTGCTCTTTTGTTTATCAAATTGTTTTGTTTGATATAGTTTCATAATTTTTACAATTGAAATATAGATAAATTATAGAATATTTCGAAAGTAGGGAGGTTGACGCTGATAAAGAGTGTGTTGAGTAGTATTCCGACTTATTTCATGTTTGTGCATGTTATTCCAGTGTCGGTGGCACAGCGGTTGGAGAAGCTTCAAAGGGATTTTCTGTGGGGTAGCGGAGGAGATGAATTTAGGTACCATTTGGTTGATTGGGGGCAGATTTGCCAATGTAAGCAAGCAAGGGGTTTGGGGGTTAGGCGGTTAGTGACTTTCAATAGAGCCTTGTTAGGGTAGTGGTTGTGGTGTTTTGCTTGGGAGCATGATAGACTCTGGCGAAGGGTGATCGCCTCTAAGTATGGGGTGGGAAAGGGGGAAAGGGGGATTGGGTTTCTAGAGATGTGACTAGCACTCATGGTTGTGGGCTTTGGAAAGGGATTTGGCTAGGGAGGCTGGAGTTTTGGAGGTGGGTAGGGTTTAGGGTGGGGGATGGGGTGAAGGTGAGGTTTTGGAAGGATATATGGTGTGGTGAGGTTTCATTGGAGACCCGTTTTCCTTTGATCTTTGATATTGTGGTTGATCGGGAGGCTACGGTGGCATCTTATTTGGGGGGTGGAGATATGGTGGTTTGGGATATTCAGTTGTGGCGGTAGGTGCAAGATTGGAAGGTGGCTCAGTTAGTGGAATTGTGGGATCTCTTGTATGGGTTGGGCATCACTGGTGTGGGATCCGATGTGATGATGTGGAATAGGGTGTGGGCCAAGGGGTAGTTCATCTTTTCTTCATTATATTGGGGTTTGGTGGGGGATTGTAGTAGGGTTTTTCCTTGGAAGAATGTTTGGGTGCTAGGTGTTTCGTCTAAGGTGGCTTTCTTTATGTGGACAACTGCTTTGGAGTGGAATCTAACGTTGGATAATTTGATGAGGTGTGGGCATGTTTTAGTGAATCGGTGTTGTATGTGTTGTGCTAATGCAGAGTCGGTGGATCATTTGTTCCTTCATTGTCCAGTGGCCACGCAGCTGTGGGGTTTTATTTGTTCACTCTTTGGGGTTGTTTGGGTTCAACCAAAAGGGGTGTTGGATATGCTTTGGGCTTGGCGGGGTGCTCGGATTGGGTGTCAGCGTCGGCGTTGGTGTCGGCGGGTGTGGTTGCTAGCGCCGTTATGTTTGATGTGGCTTGTGTCGTTGGAGTGAAATAGACAAACCTTTCAAGAGATTTATTATGGTGTTCTTTGGTTAGAGAACCGACTTCTTGTAGTTATGTATAGTTGGTTGGAGTGGACAGTTGATGTAGATATGTTTGTTTTTTCATATTTTCTAGATGATATGATTGGTTAGTGCTTGTGACTGCTTTCCCTAATTGGGGACGTCGTTTTGTTTTCGTTGTATCATCTTGACGCCTTTTCAATAATATTTGTTTATTTATCCAAAAAATAAATAAATATTAGAGATAAATAAATATTAGAGATAGAATAGGATAGAACCAACTTGGGCGGGTGGTGGGAGATTTTTAAGGAGTGTGACCGGAAATAGGTCATAATTATCTTATAAGTCTAGCTTATATTCAAGTGTATTAGAAATGTAATTAGTTTTTCTTTCATCTTTCTTTTTTTAAATATATTTTATACCAACTAATTATGTGCTTCATTGTTATAGGATGAAAACACAATCACCTGGTAAGACGGATCCACTAGATAACTTCTTCAAAATAAGGGGGTACTTTGAAGTTTGATACATGTTGAACTTTCAAAGTGGTAGAATTCATACTCAATTTAGAACTAACAAGCTTAACTCAAAACCATCAACCACACCAATTTTATTCATTTGAAACTTATTTAAATCCGTGTTAATTTCTTAAACGGATTAAAAGTATTGTATTTTATTTATTGCACTCATTTTCATACACAATGAACAATACTTTCAAGTTTCTTAACATGTATCTTAATGACACACATTAATAAAATTCATATTATATTTAATATATATTCTATAGTTGTACACTTGCACTTTGATATTATATATTATATATATAGATTGTTATTTTTTTAATTTTAAGAACTATATATATGATTTTATGTATATAAATATAAATGTATATATTTTATTTAAAATCTAAAATGAAGTGAGTCTTACGATTCACAATTCATTTTATTGAGAAATCAATTCATGATTCAATTCACGATTTGACACTTGAAAATAAGATTTATTAATTTATTTTTGAATGGACAACATTGCTCTAATTCCCCTCAATAATTGTTAGAGATAGAATAGGACAGAACCAACTTGGGAGGGTGGTGGGAGATTTCTAAGGAATGTGGCTAGAAATAAGTCACAATTATCTTATAAGTCTAGCCTATACATGCAAAACAGAATAATTCCTAAATCAAGCTATCCCTCTCACCATGATAGCCTCAAGCTATCTCTTGACAGCACCAACAAGATAGCCTCATTTGGAATGCTACTGCAAATATCTCTCTCTGAATGTACAAAACAACCAGGCTATCATTGATCAACTAATCACCATTTTCGTCGTGAAGACTATCCTTCACAATCTTCTTAGCAGAAAATGGCCCATCTATTGTAGCAGTCGCAACAGGTAAAATCCTTTGGTCTCAGTATGATGATTTACTTCTTCACAGTCTGTGGTTTGAGATTATTGTAGATAAGATATTCCCTCAATCTAAATCAAGCTAAAC